TCCTATGACTGCAAATTTTCACAGAGTTATAAGAGGTATCATATGACATCTATTTAAAACCTTCTAGCACTCTGTGCTCCTATTACTGAGGACTTAGTTTGTAGGTTCTAATCTAACTCTGATTTGGTGACTGCTTGTGCAGACATCCATGGCAATGTTAAATAAAGAAATTCTCTTCTAACCAGAAACACCCAGGACTTCTACAATTACATTACTCGATGCTATCTAACAGAGGATTCAAGACTAAATTCCTATTTTTGCTATAGTATGTTGAAAACCAGGATTGGAAACAGAAAAGGTACTTTTTGACTCCATGGGGACAAAGCAAGTTATTTGATGTTCATACAAAGAAGTACAAATATATGCTGTGTTCTTAGTAGGAGATTCTGCTCCCGGCAAAATTTCATTTTCTTTTCATTCTGAGGTTTGTGAAGGATTGAGCTCAAATATAAAATATGACCAGTTAAAAAAAGACTATTTACTCTCAAATTGTGTTTAATAAAGTGTCCATGTTGGAAGCCTGAGTGAAAGGGGGACAGTTACTGCAAATGTCAGATTTCTTGCTGTGGTAGTTTTACCCATGGTGAGGTCCCACAGCAAGGTTTCTTCCCAATCATTCCCTTCCATTTCAAACATCAAGAAAGTTGGTGTGTCCTGCAAAATGTGGGCTATCCTTGATCATGGAAGAGACATAATGAAATGGATGAAAGAGATGCCCCAGGATCTAAGTGACGTAACCAAAGATTCCACGAATCAGTACCTTCTCTAGTTGGACAATATTTCCTCAGCATCATTGGGTCTCCTTTCATTTATAATTTCTAAAATTTATTGAAAGAGCAAGCCAAAATAAAATTCTAAAGTCACTCTAAATAAATGTATTTCATAAAAGGTTTATGCAAAAATATGAGAATTTCTCAGAGCTTTCATGCAATCTAGAATGACTACTTCTGCAAGAACTGTTTCACTACATTCTTACGAAGGCTGACACAATCTTGGGCCATAAGACATAGCTCATCCATTTCACTATATTACAGTACTGTAAAGAGTTTTAGTTGTTTACACTCTCAAAGCACAGACACTAACATATAAATCTCCCTTACCAGATTTAGATTATCTGCTAGAACACCAATGTAGGAAAATATGTGAATACAAGTATCTTAACTCTTCTCATTTATCTTTCTTCAACTTTTCTATTCTAAGCAAGCTATCATTCACGCACATCAGACCGGTAATATATATTGCATAATTAATTCAATTTTGTTTTGGTCTTAATTTTACTTAAAACGTGGCTGTACTTTCTACTTTTTACATACCAAAAGTTGGTTCAAACAGATGGTTGCATTATTTCTGAGAGATCATAATAGCTATGTTTATTATTTGAGATGGGTATAAAAAGTTACTGATACACAAAGCACATGAGATAACTGACACTGTACCAATTTCTTAACCACAACACTATGAATATTTGGGCCAGATAATTCTGTTGTTGGGGGCTGGCCAGAGCACTGTAGGATGTTAAACAATGACTCTGATTTCTACTTGATGCCAATGCCATACCCTATCCAGCTGTAACAACTAGAAATGTTTCCAAACTTTGTCAAATTTCTCCTAGAGAACAAAATCTGTTCTCCCCTCCTCACACTCCCGTCAAGAGTCACTAAGCAATAATCCATGTTATGGTTTATATCTGGGTGTCCTCCCAAAGTCTCATGCTCTCATAGGTGGAATATTTAAAGGGTGATTGAATTAGGAGGACACTACACCTTGGTATTTGGAAGGGAGACCTACTTTGAAAAGGCAGGACACTGGAGGTGGATTTGGAAGGGTATATTTCCCTCCTTGACTCCCTTCTTTCTCTGCATCCTGGACACCATCATGAGTGCAGCTTTTATCTTCCAGGCCCCTGTACCATGCTGTTTCTTCTTTGGAGCCAGCCCATTAGGGACTAGAACATGAGCCAAAATAAACCTCTCCTAGTGGGTGCAGTAGGTGTTGAGTATTTCATCCCAGTGATGAGGACAGTGACAAGAAAACAGATTTTGCTACCATGAATGAGGTCATTGTTGAGACTTTTACCTGACTATGTGATTCAGAAGTCTTTGGAACTAGTTTTCAGGACAATTTGGGAAATTTGGAGACCTCATCTGGAGAAGCAGCCCTAGAACGACAAAAGCTGAAATTGATGGGAGATCCTGGTCAAAGTGCAGAAGACTACAATGCTGATGGAAAGGTACATGGTAAAGACTGGGCTCAGGTTTGTTTCAGTTAGGAACAGCCTCCTTTGGTATTTGTGTTTTACTCTCTTTACTTTCTGCTACTCTGTAGCAGAAAATGTCTACATTTTACTCATGTCCTGAGATTCTCCAGGGAACTAAGACTAAGGGTGGTAGACTAATTAACCCAGCGGATGTTATTTTGGCAGCCCAATATTGAGGCTGTAGCATGAGTACTATTGGGGGCTTTTACATATCTCTATGTAAAGAAGCAAGAACAAATTGCACAGCTGAGTGATCTTTAAAGTTTTTCAGTTCCCCAGAAAAGAAGCTCCTGTACAGTTGGGGGCAGTAGAGCAAAGAACTTAGTTGCTGAAAAGATTAGCATTTAAAAGAAGCCAAGTAGTTTATAACAGAACAACAGAAAAAATGGCTTGGGTGGGGGTGCTAAGAATCAGTGGGATCCCTGGTACAGATAAAAACGAAAAAGACCAAAAAAAAAAAAAAAAAAAAAAAAAATCAGTGGGATCTCTCCCTTTAAAAAAGCTCAAAAGTACAAAGGTATAAAGTTTTCATCTGAGAGCCCTGGGATGCTATGCTGGAGAAGAGCAACATAGGAAATTGGTTTCCTGATATTTAGTGCAGTGCTCAACCATCCAGCCATCCAAGCACTTAGGGGCCACTGCAGCCAAGATTCAAGGGGGCCTGGCTATTACTTGACCTGGCTACAAACCTTGGCATCACCTATGTGGTGCTGGTTTGAAAGGCATGCAAAATCCAAGAGTTGTGGGATCAGGGAAGGTTTCATCCAGATTTCAGGCATGGGAGGCAAGCCAGCATATTCCTGAGAGGGCATTGCATGAAGTTGTGAGACTAAAGCTGAAAACTCAGAGAGACCCCCCGGAAGCTGGAGAAGCCAGGCATATGGAAGGTATAAGGAAAGCCACAAGAAATAAGCAAAGTCAGCCCTCGCCAAGTCATGAGAGCTACAACCACAGGCAATGCCATATAGGTGAGGCCATCTAAGCCTTTTGGAGTTCACATGTTGCACTACTTCTCCTGGATGCTGGAACCAGAGCTAAAGTACTTAATGTTTACCCTGCTAGATATCTGTCTTGCTTTTGTCCATTGGTTCGTATCTCATTTTTACTTTTTGGAATGGGAATGTTTAGCCCATTTTACTTTATGTCTGCAGTGTTTAACTTGATTTTTACAGAGGCTCATAGCTAAAAGTTTATATTAAGTATCAGAGGAGACTGCAGACTTAAGACTCTTCAGCAATGCTGAAACTGTGAAGATTTTGGCAACTCTTAGAGATGAACTAAATGTATTTTGCACGAGATACTCATAAATATTTTGAGGGCCAGGGATGACCTAAGACTATATACAGATGTCCCCTTCAAAGCCTCATGTGCTCAGAAGTGGGGATTTTAGAAGGTGACTTGATTATGAGGCCTTTAAACCTGACTTGTCAGAAGTTGGGGTCTGGTCAGAAGGCTTGTGTCACTGGGGGTGTAACCTGAATGGCTTTATCTCCCTCCCGATATCCTCGTTTCTGTTTCCTAGCTGCCATGAGATGCGCAGCTTTTTTTTTCTGCCATCCTGTTTCTTTTCTGGAGTTGGCAGACCTTGGACTGAAACATGAGCCAAAATAAATCTCTCCTCCTTTAAATTGTCTGTGTTGGGTATTTTATCCTGGTTATGAGCAAAGTTACAAAGACAGCCTAACAGAAAAGATAAAATCAATTCTCCAAACTACTACACAATATAAATCAAACTTACTTTAATTTTCATAATTTTGTATAAAAATCCAACTACACCATGATATAATGTAACATCTTTTTGGGAATGCAGATGGGCAGAGACCTTTAAAAATAATTCACAAAAGTAAACATATCCACGGTATCCTGATGATGCCAAAAATGAATTCTGGTTAGATAAATCAGAACATATAAACATAGCTGACTGCTTTCCACTGCTGTTAACACAAGTGGTGGGAAAAGCTGGGCTCCTATGAAGTCAAAATTTAAGTTGCTCTTAAAATAGGTGGCAAGATATAAGGCATTACATAGTTCACACATAATAATATAAAGATATATTCATTTTTGTAATGTAATAATTAATGAAAGACAAGACCTTTTTGGATCAGGAACAAAGCCACAATCACACTAGTAATTTTACTGAGTATTAAAGAGTATACATTCTAGAAATAAGATCTGGAAATTTCCTTTTTTATTGACTGCTAGTCAGCATTTAGGTACCTGAAAACAATCAAAGTAAGGAGGAAAGATTTATTTTGACAGTTTCAAAGGTTTCAATCCTTGGTAAACTGGCTCCATTGTTTTTGGGCCTGGGAGGAGGCAGAAATACAGCACACAGGAGTGATAGAGGAAAGCTGCTCACCTCACTGCAGCCAGGAAACTGCATGGACAGAACCAAAAGAAAGGCGTCTGGGGACAAGATCACTTCTGTGACCCACTCCCTTCAACAAGGCCCTATCTTGTTTCCACAACCTCTCAATGATGCCATCAAGTTATGAATCTATCAATGGATTAATGTACTGATACCTCATGATTCAGTCATTTCCCAAAGTCCCTACTTTTGGACATTGCTGCACTGAACTGAGGCCCCAGCCACCAAAACATTAACCTAGGGGGACATATCATACATAAGCCCGAACAGGAACAGACTAAGCAACACATGCATCATGCTAAAAAAGAAAGTGAGAAGGGATGAGTGGGCCCTGCTCCACTAGTAAATAATATTGAATCCATAAAACAAGACAGATTGAGAAAACTGTCAAAATGTTATTCTTTATTTTTGGACATGTAGCATGTTTTAACAAATCAGTTACAGGTGCAACTGCTTATAACATAAAAAAGAAATACATTTTTAATAAATTCCTCATTATTGTGAGTTCATTCACAAATAAATGTAAGGACTAGGACAGAACAATATGTTTCCACATACTGACCAGTACAACACTGACAGTTATAATTAAAGTATCCAGGAAGTCCAGAAATGAAGATTTAACTTAAGACAAATAAATTTACTTCCATTTAAAAAAAAAAGTAAAATAAATTTGACATTTTATATGCAATACCAATCACTTTAAAATTCTAGTTTCATCTTAAATAAATGACAAATCAAGAATTAAACAATTTTGAAAAACACCAAGAAGCAAAAGGAAAAATTTTAGTGTACCGTTAAAAACTGCTGAGTAGAACAAACAAAACCAAATATTAACCATTTCTCACTTTACTATGAATATTGGCACTGTTTATTTTATGTCTACGTTGGTTTCAATGCATAAAAGTCTTAATAAGACTGAATGGCTAGAGTCAGTCCATTTTTCTCCAATGAAAGAATTTCTAACTTCTAGAATTTAAAAATTGTACTCTTGCATTTACGTTTTAGTATAAACAAAACACTAATATATTTCTTTTATAACAGTGGCAACTGAGTAATAGGCAGAAGATACTTTTTCAAAGGTAAGACCCTTTGTGAATGTTGTCATTAAAAATATCCTGTACAAAAGCACAATACTGACAGACTCTATCTAGTGCACACACAAGTGCCTCACTGTTTTCACAGTTCTCTTCCACAAAAACTTATTCTAAAGAGTTCAACAAATAATACACATTATGTGGATAACTGGGGGTTAAAAACCCATGGCTCTGGGCAACAATAATTACAGTTAAAAACATCCATCCACAAAGAGACTTGTGTTACTAAACTTTCAGACTTGGCTTGCTATAAATAAAACATTCTGGAGTAAAGCCTTTTGCACACTGACAATACTTATCAGACATCAGCTAGGCCACAGTGGAGGGTAGTGACTTTTGTATCAAAAGGATAGAGTAGCAGCTGGTTTTGAGATGGCACACCTCATACATTCTGCTCAGATAACAAGAAGGCATTTACAAAGGACTAAATTATGCACTGAAAAATGTGGGGGCTTTCTCTGCACTATCAACAGTGGTATCGGTCCCTAGAATTTAAAAAAGTAAAAGGGCTCTTCACAAAACTGAATATGGAGGCTCTACCTAGAGAAATGCATACAACAGGAGCAAAAGAAGGACTTGGAATATGCCAGAAACTTCTTCTTGGCACTAACTAGCATGAGCATTTTTGGCATGTTAGATATTTTACCATTTTATGTCAACCATGACTATAGTAAGCTGTCTGGATGATAAACAAAGAATGACTGCATCCCTGGTCCTTAACAGCAGTTTACACATAGCAGGTGATCAAAACATACTGGTTAACTAACAGACCATCTTGCTGAAGAAACTTGCTGACAATATGTAACACTTCCTGAGTGGACCCAATAAACGTTTAAGAGCATCACTTAAATGCCTAGTAGATGTATATGAATATTACTTAAAGTAGTTTCTGCAATTGGTATACTTCCCTAAAGAAAACGTGTAAACATTTGGTGAATGTCTAAGTAATGGTTTAACATTAAAAACTGGCCAAATATGCCCAGAAACATTTGGCCCTACAGCACCCAAAACTCTCAAAATATAATGTTAAAACTCTCCGCTAGAGGGATTTCAGTGTCTGAAAAATTTCATACCTGAGTGGCTTAACCATTCTCTCCTAAATTGTAAATAAGTGCAAGGAGTTTCTACACTCAGGAATTGCATAAGTTTTAATCTTTCCTCAATCTAAAACATTGAATGATATAGAGGTAGCATAACTTACTGAATTAACTTTAAAAAACAAAAACAAAGCAAGGTTATTATCAATCGTCTTGATAAAACTGTTACAAATGTTTCAAACATTACAAGGCAGGCTTTCTTCTACCTGGTTTCAGACACTTTCTCATTATCATCCCTTTTCTCACTGTGAGGATAGTGATGAGTCCAGGCACCCCTTGGCCCAGTGGCATCTACTGCAATATCAATGAGAGAATCCGGGATAATCCACCTCAGGAAGATAAGGAACAGATAGTTGAGCACAGCCAACAGAGCAAACATGTGGCCTGTGACTGAGCCGCAGTGAGAGATGAGTCTATCCAGTCGCTCATTCAGGGACAGCACGTCTTCGCTCAGGACTAGCTCGTACACCTGGAGGGAGAGAAGGCCCAGAATGAATGCTGGGAGTCAGAACACTTCTACAACAAAGGACGACCCACCCTAACCAAGAATGTTTCCGAAACACATGCAAACAGAGGTCATCCGTGTTTGGTGTTGTTACAATAATGATGTCCTTAATGAACTTAAACACAATCATTATTGCCCAATGCTTGCTGGGCACATAATCTGCGCTAGACACTGTAATACAAAGAATAAGCTATGGTTACTTTCCCCTAGGAGATCAGCACAGATTTCAGCTGAGTACTAAAATACCAAAGTCCTGCAAAGTCCAAATAGCTTTTCAGGTCATGACTGATATTTAATTGAGCAATGACTTGAGAGGTGTTCAAACAGGACAGGCCTTTTCAGACGCTTTGGGTAGAGAAAGCTCTCTGACTGGTCTCTGCCAGACAAAAAGCTCAATTATACCACCACAGCAGCAGGCTTCTGGGGATACACAGTTTCTTCTTTCAACAACTGTGAAAGGTCATCCATACTGCTGTTTATAGTAGGTAAGGAGATGGAGAAATATTTCAAAGATTGCAAGTAGAAGAGGGGAAGATGAGGTAAACTTTAATTAAACAGTCAGGTCAAGTGTTGGCAAACAAAGTCTACTGCTAAGAACTGGTAGTGTGTGACTTGCTTTTGAAAACTGCTGAGCACTAAACTCTAAAATATTTTTAAAAAACCAAAGATCTTTAAATATACTTGTATTGAACACATTAAATGAGCCAGCATTCCTGTTTTGCAATTGCACTTGGGAATTACTTGTGCTTGACCTCACATAATGAACCTGTAAATTGTCTTCTTTTGAGTTCAAGAAGTTACAACAAGTGCAACTGCTACAGGTCAGTGGCCTATCAAAGGTACAGCACGATTTTATCTAGCTCTTCTATCCTGAGGACATTTTAAATACAAGCATTTTAATCAGAATGATGTTGAGGATTATGTTGAGGCTCACAGATTAGAACTGAATAGTGTGCTTAGAGCATGAAGTCCAATTTAATTTTGTGATCAATTTTCTGAATAGCATAGTTAAACTAAAGAGTTGAAAAAGATCAAAATGTCCTACACTTAAAAGACCAAATACAAACTGATCTGTTTATCCAGTTCTATGTGAGGTCAATTTATTTATTATATTAAGTGATAAAATAATAATTTACTTCTATATAGAAAATGTGACACTCTGTTACAGATGAGAATTTGCTTTGTTCTAACTACATGCTATAAATTATCAGACCATAGAAGAGTAAAAATATAAGTGGTTTACTATTATTTTAAATATAACTACATGAAATATGATTATAAAAATAACCCTAATTAGCTTCTTCATAAATTGTCACCATTGTCCTTTTCTTGTTGAATTTCTTACCTATTATAGCTCAGAGCTCTGAACTTGCATCATGTCTATGAAACAGGTAAAGTTACAATTTATAGAGCTGTGGTTCTGTAGGGCGACCAGGGCGTATCTCCAAAAAACCTGTCTAGTCATATATTCTTGCCAGCTATACTGCAAATTCCATCTCTGCTCCCCAAAGGTCACATTAGACTCTAGGGAGTAACTGTGGACATGAGACAGGAAGATGGAGGATACAGAGCCAAGTGGTCACTCAGTTGATTGCAGGTACCAGATTTCAATTTCCAAAAGAAAAGATAAGCTATCTATCTCATAGTGGGAGAAACTCCAAGAATTCCAGAAGGTCGGACTGCCCTGAACACTTCAGTTGAAAATTTCTGACTCTTTCAGAAATCTCCTATTTCAATGGAAAATATTATTATGGATGACTGTGTTTAGAGAGAATGAGGTTCTTGAATTCATATTGAATTCATATTCAAATATAGGTTCACTTGGATTCAAAACTTGTAATTCAAAACAAGAAAGAACACCTTATAGTAGAGGGCTGCTTTCAGTAGAAGACACCTGGCAGTTTCCACTCAGTTTGATATATGGCAAGAGGCAAAAGGTACAAGCAGTCATGAGAAAGACATAAAGGATGAAACTCAGAAGAAATGCACTCCCCTTGGAAGGCACTTCTCACCATGTACTCTCCCACCTAAGGCAGCAATCTATTTTCTGTACCTGTCCTTTTGGGAATGCTCTATTGCTGCTTTTCATTTGTCATCATTTCCCCACTTTTCAGGTATATTTTAAATTCTAACTTACTTTAGTCTCTATTATTCCAAAAATACCAAAATCATTTTCCTGTAGAAAATTACAGTCATTAGCAAAAGCATGATAGAAGGTTCCAGAAGTAGCCAGAATCAAATATTAACAGTTCCAATGCTACAATAAGCACCGAAACCATATATTTGCTAATAGACCTAGATAGTTTAGAATTATAAACAGCCTTAAGGAAACATCCAAGAATAGATTTCAATACCAGTTTTGCCTTTAATTGCTAGGACTACAAAAAAATCTTGTGGTTTCCTCATGCCCAGTTTAATCAATCAAATGTTAATGATAATTTCAGATGTCAATACAATGATTTGAACAGAAACAGCCCAGCAGGTATGCAAACAGTAATGCTTAGTTTATTTCTTTTCATATAGAAGACAGTCTGTAAACCTAACCAAAAACATTAATGGCCAACTTGTATGTAAGAGAAACCAAATGGTATGTGAAACGTCAAGTAACAGCTCAGACAGAATCTTTTCTCAGCATGTGACATACCTTTTCAGTTCTCTGTGCAACATTCGTCCAGGTGTAGAAAGTCTTTACTATATTATGGATATTTTCTGGGGTTGGAAGTGCCCCGGAATTCAGCTGCAAAATAGTCTTTTCCAGTCCTTCACACAAAGATTTTACTGAAGGTTCACACAGAACAATGAGATTTTCTGGAAGCACCTCAGGAATTCCACCAACCCTCGTACTTACAATCTTAAAAGAAGGAAGGAATACATGAGCCACTGACAATCACCTCAGGAAAATCACCAAAATGAAGTTAAAAAAAATTATTATGACACGTGTCCCATTATTTTTTTCAAAACACAGATAAAGAAATACCCACAATCTAAGCCCTTAGAACATTTTACCTGTAAACCACAACTGGCTGCTTCCACAATCGCCATGCAGAATGCTTCGGTAAGGGAGGTATTAAGAAAAATATGTCCTTGAACTAAGACATCTCTAACATCCTTGTGTTCTAAAGCTCCCAAAAGACGTACCCTGATTTTTTAAATAAGAGAGGAAGAAAAAAGGGAGTGAAAAACTATGCTACAAAAAATTTAATTTCTAAACCAAATCAGCTGTTTATATTTAGATTCCTACTAGTGCTAATCTCAAAATATTAGTATAACCAGTTTTAAAAAGTTCTATAAAGCTGAGATACAATGCATAAACATATTGCTAACTCTGTTATACACACAAATTCCATCTTTCTAAAGCTAATATGCATTTAATGAAAATATTGGTATGACTTGAAAATCTGCAAATATTCCCAATCACAGTGGTTGTTTTGGGGGGCCTTCCATGATGTTTCCAACAATTGTTTCTCAAAGTCAAATAATATCAGGCTAATGGAAAAAATCAAATTGTGAATTAATCGTGCTTTCTCATTTTATATACATTCTTCAGAAATAGGCCTTGCATTACATTTGTATATCAATTACATCGAGGAGAAACTGCACATCTATGGTAGACACAGTCAAACCTGAACATCGCTGATATTTTCTTACTCACAACAAAATGAAAGCCATCATTACCTGTCATGTAACTCGTATTTTTCCCGCACTTCTTCCAGAATGATTCTCTTTGGTCCCTCTCCTCCGATTATAAAATTTAAATTTTGATACTTCTGACAGAGTTTAGGTATTATGCCACAAAGCAAATCAATACCTGAAAACATAAAGTTGAATGTTAGAGATGTTAATGTTTCAACTTCAAGACTCATCAGAACTACTGAAAATTTACTTATTAAATATTAGGTATAACATTTTTAAAATATCGAAATCAGCTCTCTCACACCTTTCCTGGGAGTGGACTCATCACAAACTGCCCCCAGTCCCCAAGAGTTCCAATTCTTGAAGATACCGACCCTGACATGCATTATTACCTTTTATAAAACCAAAATATGGACAATTCTGTTTTAACCTACTTATGTGATTTACTTGAACACATTGCCTTCTTCTACAAAAGATATTTAAGTTAGCTAACTAACACTTTGGTTCTTCTCCATAACACACAACCTACTGGAGCTAGAGATCCCAGTTTCTTTTCTTTCATGCTTTTTTTTTAACAAGCAAGCCCTTTGATCACAGCTAAGTACTCTGATATATTAAATGCAGAGACATATGTACCTAAAATCCTAAGGTCTCTTTCAGCTACAAAATTCTCAGCTATGACTCCACTTCTTGCCACAGGTTAGCAACAAAGTGTAAATGTTGCCTCCACTTTCTTCAAAACTCAACTTGCATGGAGAAATTTTGCAATGAATACTATAGTATTGCCACAACTTAAAAGAATGGTCCATTCAAACCAGCTATACCCCATTTCCCAAGAACGAGTGGGTAAAGGGGGTAGGACCTCAACTGTCAGATTATTCCAATCCACAGATCAAAAAGGATTCAACTTTGTTCCTTTCTTCAAAAAATTATTTTCTTACATTATATAAAAACAACTTCAGATAACACAAAGCAATTGAATAAATCACGATGCCCTACCAGTCTGCAAAAGTTAGTGGCTACCCAAAGCCACAGCAATGTTGACACTACCTAGGAATTTCATTCATTAACAACTATAAATCATAAACATTCAGAAATAAAAGGAAACAAAATAATTAAATTAGACCTGTTTATTAATTAAAAATAAATGTACACACATTCACATACAAACCTACACACACACTGATTTTTACACTGATCTTCCTCAAAATAGGCAGACTTACAAAACAGGTCACTGGTATTTTCAAATTATGATTATATATACAAAAATAAATTCCCATAGTTTTTAATTATAAAAGCTTCCCATTAAAATATTAGCTATCTTTGTTTCAAGTCTATTACTGAATCCATTCACTGGATTTGGTAGAAATCTAGAAAAACTAGAAAGTGAATTGATGACCATTAACATTAGCCTCCTACACTTTCTTTTTTTTTAACTTTCTCTTCCATTTTTTATCCTTTTTCCTCTTTCCTTCCTTTGTAATAGAAGGTTAAGTGTCCATTCTTTAAACAAAAGTGGAAAAGTAAGCATAACTTCTGATAGCATGTAATAGCTACTGAGTGCTTACTGTATTAGTACATTAAATGCATTATATCTTTTAATACTGATAATCACTATAAAAGAAATGAAATTAATATTGTTAATGCTATATAATAGTATTCTAGGAATAAAAGATTTTCTCCTTCAGTATAAAAAATTTTTCTGGTGCCTCTAAGATTCTAACACCCTGGATCATTTAAAGACTTTCAAATGCCATCTTTATATAAAAAGACAAGGAAAATTTCTGACTCAAAATGCTTTTTTTTAATCCAATTGCTTTTAATGCTCAATCTAACAGTATTTGAACCTTCTGATCTATCCTAGGACCTAGTGACCAGGCTAGGAAACAGAAACCCTGAACTCCAGGAGAGCTGGACACATATTTGTCATTTGTTACTTACTATGTAACCTGGGTGAGTCACTTATCCCCTTTGAGACTGTTTCTTTGTGTGCTACAAGCAGTTAACATATACATACCCACAGCTGTTGGGCCAAATGAAGTACTACAACATGCATAGGGTTTCACCACTGCAGAATACACTGTTAGGTTATCATTGCTGCTACAGCAAGAAGTGGGATGTGTCAGTAAACACACTGAGCACTGTGAAACCCCAACTGAGAGCAAAACAGGCTGGAGAGAAGAGGGCTCAGGAACAGCCAGCCAGGAAATGCAGGCCAGGAATATTTGGATTTATCTTCTTAATTAATCCACCCCAATGGCCTTCTGTTATCTGGTCCAATGAACACCTCCAGAGGAAACTGGTTTGATAATAAAGAATAAAGGACCATTACTATAATTACTTACTTTTGGGCTATAGACATGGTCACTCCTTAGCAGAATATTATTTGTGCATGGGGCCTGGCATATAGGGAGGGTTAGACAATTACTTGAGTACTGAACTTAGACAGGGAAGGCTGTAACCTTCACTCCATTGGTGATTAGCTCGGCTGATTAAAACACCACACAGGCATGAGGAGAGGTAACAGGCATGAGTAGTGGATTCTGCTGATCCTCTATTACACTTACATACACACATATATCATGGTCATTCTTGGCCATCTACTTCACAAAGGTATCCTATTCAATTAAAAATAAATCAGGTGTACTTTCTATGCTATAACAAACACATCACCAATATCCCAATTAGGACGCAGAAGACCTTGAGCTCATTCAGATCTTCTTGATGAAAGAACAGATGCACATCACTATCCTCACCCAGAAAATGCAGTTCAATCCAAGTTTTCTCACCACCTCCATATCAGTGGGCTTTCTATTCCAAATATGGACTACACTGACCAAGGCCTATACCTCGATTTTAGGTCCCTCCCCAGTACACTAATACACTTGGTTACCAAGAATCTGTGGCATTTGTTCACAAATGTAATTCCAGTTGTACTTGGCATTGAACAGGGTTATTCAAGACCACATAAACTGACAACATGAAGTTTCTATGAAAACCAAGCTGAGTGGTTTGAAAAATCTAATAAACCACAGTCTCAGAAAAACATTTCTTATCAGATGAGGGGCGACCAAACTACTATGTAAAACTGAAAGCAAATTAAAAATCCAGAAGCATATTGCTTGATGTACCTTTAGGGTTTCAACCCACTTTAAAGAAAAAACCCAGGTGACAACAGTGGATGATGCTTTGTGAAGCTGAGTGCGCAAGACAACACCGGTGAAATCAGAGAACCGGTACTCAAGCCAAAGTACTGGCAATTTGGTGCATTAATAACATTCTGGGTCAAGTTCAAATATTTGAGACTATGTATTATTTTGAGTACTGAGGTCTGACTATAAGTGACACTTGATTACTAGACTGATTTTCAGAGCATCAAGAAGACTATTTGATATATTTCTAATAACTGCTGTACAGAGCTCTGATAAACGAGTCTCCACAAATTCTACATGGTATGCACTACTGCTGCAAAGGTACTATAAACAATCCTTCTTGCTAACAGTGGGTACTTACTAAGTACAACCTATGCTAAGCATATCACTGAACCTTCACAAAGTTCCCACTGTCACCTGAATGAAATGAATGAAAAAACAGAGATGTTAAATAACTCATCCTTAATCACACAGCGGGACGCAGCCAGCCTCTGACTGTGGCCCATCTAATCCTCCTTTCATCACTTACCTGCCAAAGTTATTAACATCATATATATGATTAAACGAAATGAGCAAACACAAAACAGTAGTATGCAGAATAAGACCATTGAGTTTAAACATATGCACACGTGCATAAAAGACAAGAAGTTATAAACCAAAGTCTTCCTTAGGGTCACCTCTGGATAATATAGTTACAGCTACTTTTAGTTTTCATCTTTGTATTTTTCTTAGCTTTTAAAATCTGCAATGAAAAGACATTACATTTGTAATTAAATAAAAAGCCATGTGATAGGCTCTTGCCCTTTATTTCTTACCACACATGGAAGGCTGAATTAATTTTTTTTTGGTACCCAGGATTGAACTCACAACCTCACGCTTGCCAGGCAGGCACTTTAACAGCTGAGCTAAATTTCCAGCCCCAATTTAATTTTTAAAAAGATCCTATCAATTAAACAGCATCAGGTTATTTTTAGTTTTCAGTAACTTAAAACATCCAAGGTTGGATGTAGCATTCATTACTTTTCTAAATATTTCTCTTCTTAGATGTATAAGTCAGTATATCTTTCATATCTTTCTTTGCTATAGTTAACACAGCAGTCGATACAAAAACATAAAGCAAAATGAAAAGCCAAACAATCATTAGATACAAGTACTTAACAGCTTTCTACAAGGAAAAAAAGTCTGCAATGCAAGTACAGCTATCGTTTCATTACCTTTTCTGTAAACAAGTCTGCTGACAACAACAATAGTTATACTACCATGCCTCTTACATGGATCTGGAGTGAAGTCAGTAGGATCTACCGCATTAGGAATGACGGACACTATTTCAGGATTCAGTGCTGCTCTTAGTACAGTATTTTCCTTACTAGTATAAGAGACACAAATGATGTGGTTTGTGTCACAAAGCGACACAGTTAGAAGCTTGTTTGTGAGCACCGAGCTGACATCAGCAAATCCAAAGAGGGAATGGTCCGTGAAGACTGTATGGAGCCCCATTGTCTTGGCGTGGAAGAGAGCATCATGGGCCAGGGAAGAAAAAGAACTATGGGAATGGACTACTGTGACTCTCTCCCGGACAAATATGTACCTGAGTAATGGCAGACTGTGAAAGAGCGTCGTAGCTGTAGATTGGTTGTACATGACTTTCAGAGGCAAGTAATAGACTTTGAGGCCATTTGTGAGGTAACGGATGCCTTTTCGATCTTCATAAGCATGGGTGACAATTATGACCTTGTGCCCTCTTTGAATCAGGCACTGAGAGAGCTGGTATATGTGGCTTTCCACTCCTCCCATATTTGGGTAGAAGAAGTCAGATACCATGCATATATTATGAAAACTAGTTGGACAGGTGGCAAAGCTTCCAGGGTTAACTGAGGAGAGTGGAGGTGAAGGAAGCTTGACGTGGTCCCCTCCTCCTCTACAGGCCATGCTGGTGTGTTTTAGACATCAGTTCCTAGAGCAACCCAGCTAAGATATGTGTCCTCTGTTACCTGAAAAAGATAGTAAAACAGATCTCAGCTCAGAGACACAGGCATTCCACATTCCAAACCCCATTAGCAGTACTTTTAATATTAGTGTACGTTTATCAGCTTTTCCCCTCAAAAAAGCACACAATGAATTTTGACTCATTTGACACTAACTTGTTTAGCATTTACTGTATCATACAACAAAACTAAACTCTGCAGTGTCTTAATTTTGCTGTAAAAATACTGCTATGCACAATATAGAACAGTGTGCCATGCTACATTATTATTAAATACAAATACACACATACACATATGTTCATTCCCTACCTACTCTATCACTTTACCACCTTCTACTTACTAAATAGCTACTACACACCAGGCACTATGTGCTAAGAGTTTTCTACATTTTACGGTAACCTCACCAAAACCCTACAAAATATTAAATCTGTATTACAAATGGCAAGTAAAGCTTAAGGAGTTTAAGAAATTTGTCCCTTGTGACTCAGCTTTTTAGAGGTAGTACAACTGTTTCACTGATGATCATTCCTCCTCCTTGCGTTTGGTCCTGTTTTAACATATAGGATGCAGTAAAAGGTGATGTGCACATGTTTGTTCTCGGCCTCAAAAAGGCCTGGTAGTTCCACTTACATACGCCTGGCTACGCTAAGCACTCACATGAGTCCAGTTATTGTGCTGTGCTGGAAAGGAGACCAAACGAAAAGCGAAAAGCTCTCAGACTACCTGGACAAAGCCAGAGCCCCAGCCATTGCCCTGTTACCAGGATCCAGTTTCAAGCCAAATTGCTACTCCCTAAAAGCGGCCTCCCTGTGACGACTGGCAGGAACAGCAGAAGTACCACTAGCTAATCCCAGCAGATTGCAACATCATGAAAAACAGTAAAATGGTGGTTGTTTCACATCACTAAGTCTTGGGGAGGTTTTGCAGAAAAGTGTAACTAAAACAGGCTAGAATTTGAATCTCACTCCTTATTTTTATAAATAAAGTTTTACAGCAACATAGGCTTGCCTATTCATTTATATGAATGGCTACTTTTGTGCTGTAACAGTAATGTGGCTGTGACAGGGGCTACACAACCAACAGAGCCTAAAAAATGTCTCCTCTATAGCTGAGCCACTGACACTATTAATTTCATAAAGTTCTTCTAGTATTAGCTTTGTGTTTACACTAAAATATACCTGGAGCTGAAACAGACTTTTTGAGGCCCCTTTTTTCTAAGGGCACCTGGAGCTCACACAATGGACAACCCAAATTTTCTCCTTTCTTATTCAAAGATGATGATAAACTGCTTCCCGTCACTTGTTTTCTTAATCATTCTATTATTTAGGTCTTTCTGCCATGACTGTTCGTCCTTTCAGTGTGTAGTCTGAAAATAAAGGCTAGAGATGGGCTAAATCTGGGGCCGTTTCCTACATACTAAAGTGGGTAATGTTTATCTCTGGGGTCCTCCAAAATCCTATCAATGTGAAATATTCCTATAGATTCTTAAGACTTTGAAAGCTAGAGTGTCTTGGAAATCCGGTAAAAATCTACTTAGCTTTACAAATAAGATTTTCAGAGCTCCAGAAACTCAACTATACAGAGAAGTCATCCTAAAGCTGTTTTGAATTTCAACTGCGAAATCAGAAAATACAAATTAACTGTATGCAGTCTTAACTACCAATTCTCTGCAATAAACCCATCTGTATCTTAAATATATTCCCAGAAATACTCCATAAATGTTTTTGGAACTTAATTTAACAATTAATATTTAATATTACCAAATACTGAGATTCCTCAAGCTCATACTTTAAAGTGATTTAACAAGTGTTTTGTCACCTAAACCTGAACTTCCAGTTCTATTCAGTTTTCAAAGATGAATGATAACAAAGACAGTGAGTAATGAGCCAAATGAAATTACTTAATATTTTGTCATTAACCTGCAATACTAAGGAGTGTGCCTACCATCTGGTTATCACTCTTAATATCTTTTAAAATATCATTTAAAAGCTTATACAGCACAGTCATAGAATCTTAGATTTTAACCGAATCTCTCTCTTCAAAAATGAGCCAGACAAGTTTGAGCGATTGATTTGTCCAAAGCTCCCACCCAGCCACTTCAGTGGCAAACTGAGGAACATCTTAAAATTTTCGCCCCTGGCCAAGGAACTGCCGAAAGTCATTAGCAGCACAGGCTCCTGAGGAGAGGCTGGAGATGAAGAGGACGGCACTTCTACAAAATCCCTGGGCGCTGCCCGAGTTGCACTCCTTGAGCAGTAGCCGGGGAGCAGCAGAGCCAAGAAGTCCAGCTCGGTCAGAGACCTCACAGTCAGGCAAGATCTGGCTGTGACCCAAGGGAGGAGGAAACCGACCGGAAAGTGGGCAGGGGTCTGGGACTCCAGGTCCCCGAGATCCCAGACCCTCGCCTAGCAACCTCAAGCAAGGAACCGACTCCAGCTCTCTAAACCCCTCGGCCCCAAGCCACTCTGCACACCCTCCAACCCGGCTTCAGGGCCTGAAGCTCGGTAGGCTTCACCCCTTCCTATCGTCTTCCCAGCTCCCAAGCCAACAGCACAGCCCCATCTGGAGGCTGGCGAGAGTGCTGGAGAGCTGAGGCCAGACGCGCACTTACCGGCGAGTCCCATGGCCGCCAGTGTCCGGACCTCCCGCGGCTGTAGCCAGAGTCCCGCCTCCCTACCCCGAAGCGCCAATCCGGAGCGTCCGCGCCCAAACGCCGCGCCCCCGAGGCAGACAATCAAAAAGTGGCGCTTAGATCACGTGTAAGAGCGACGCTCAATTGTCCCTACCCCACAGCGTGGAATGTCGCGTCAGCGTCCGTTTGCGCATGCCTATTGGGTGCTGCGGAAGGTTGGGTGAAGGCGCCCTCTGGTTACCTAGTTACAGCGTCTCTTTTCAGGAAGCCGGTTATCACCCTGCCTGCTTCTAATTGGTGAGATTTGAGTGAGAAGGCTGCTGAAATTCAGGTTCTTGGTGGCATTTTGTTTATGCTTATCTGCCGAAGCAGAACCGTGCTAGTTCTTACTACCCTGCTGGGGTTGCCAGATGCTGCATATAGAAATACACAAATTTTAAAACTCAAAGCAAATCAAAACAAATAAAAATGTGAACTTTAAATGTCATATATGTATGTCCCAAATATTGGAGATGTCACTGGACAATTACTTGGTATTTATTTAAAATTCAAATACAATGGCACATCTGTATTTTATCTAACAACTGCACTCGGGCGGGAAGGCGGGGAATCTGAAATATCTAGTCCAACTCAAACTGGTTCAACTAGCTGTGGAGATTGATGCTTGGCTAGAAGGCTGAAGACTCAGTAGGAGTGGGATGAGGATCATTCACCTTTACAGCCTGCACTTGCAATTCTCCAGGCCCACTGTGCTTGTGCCTGTGCTTGTGAGAACCAGTTCCTTTCTGAGCACCGTCATCACCACCATGACTAGCACCCCTTTGGGATCTTGAGTAAACCTATTAAATCCTAAAGATTCGAGTTTTATTTTCCTCATGCCCTCTCCAAACTTCCAGAGATAATGAAATACTTCCACTTTTATATTTTCAAAAACAAAACCACCTTTATGCTTTAGCTTTGGTCCTGGGCACTGAGCATTAAAAAGTAAATAAACTGTGATTCTGCCTGTTAAAGACCCACAATCTCATGTGGCACCACTGCATTTATAGTCAGTTAAATCTTAAGCAACAATATCAACTTAAGGTTATTTTCTACAAGTCAAAAGAAAGTTTCAGTAGCAGAATTGAGACAAGTCTAGAGATGATTCTAATTATAGTATTCTGCCTAAAGGTATGACCTCAAAGTATGTCTTTAGGGAATTTTCTTAGAAACCACTAAAATTAGACCAACATACTTAACGTACTGTATTTAGATTACACTTAATAAAATGTGAGATGTGAGGGCAATCTACTACTTCTAGTATTAAATGACCTAAAACGGAAAATAAATGTAGATCTTATTTTCCTTTGCCTTTATATATGCAAATATACATGCAAATTGTTTGGATAATTTTGGATTAAGAAGGCAAAAATATATATTGATAACCTGCCATCAATGTGCAAGGCCCAGTGAACAGAAAATGTAGCATAAGCATTGCCCCAAAGATCAAGGCATATGTAAGTTATCTAGGATCAAAGAAGTGGTAAGTGCTGTAAGAGAAACACCAGAAAAATAATCAGAGGTCAGGAGCAAAGAGTATTTCTGTCTGGAACATTTAGCTAGAGGAATAAGTAGAGCGTTTCTGTGCAAATTTTTAGAGCAAGATCATTTCATTAACAAAGTGAACAAGGTACAGACAGGCATTTGCTGTTCAGTGAACGCTATTGTGCAACTATACAAAGGAAGAGATGGGGAAAGAGTACAGACAGGAAACAGGTGACATTTTTAGTGAAGGTTGGAACAAACTAGTAGAGGATCTTACTCTACAGGTGAACTAGATGTCTAGCCAGACTTCCAGCCAATATGATATTTTCAGTTAATATTTTGAGACTTCACTTCTCTTTTTGCTTCAAATAGAAAAAATGAGACTATGTTGAATATAAACGAGAAAAGTTCATTTTCTTTGCTGTAATGTAGACGAGAAGATAAATATTCCCATGTATCAGAAGCAGAACCAAAATGTACAACGGTGATCAGAAAACCAAATCCACATAGGTCCTGGACTCTGTATCTGGCATGAGAAAGACATGAACCAAAGTTCAGCTTCTATAAAATAATATAAATTTGCAGTACACCATTTGTAGCTAAATATAGGAGCCAATCTTGTGAGAGAATGTTACACTGGTGGCATTCAATAAATCACTTGCCAAAATTGGCACCCTTGTCTACCTCCTTCTTACACTGACTCTGGATTTAGCCATGTGACTTGTTTGTCCAGTGGGACATCAATAAATGAGATACCAGGGAGCCTTAATAAGTGTTTATGGACTGAGTTATGTCCTGTTGGGTCTTTCCCACTGAAAGCCAATAATCACGCTGTAAGGCTCCAATGAGATGCTGAATGATGAAAAGCCACATGGAAAGAGACTCTAAAGAATAAAAGGCCTGCTTGTGTGTTCAAGCAGTAGGTGAGTTTCCAGTTTATTGTCACCACTAAAATGACTTTAGCCTATACTGTGTGAAACAAAAGAATATCTTAGCTGATCCTAGTTCAACTCACAGGTCATGAGAAATAATGTCACTGTTATCTCAAGGCACTAAGTTATATGGTGGTTTGCTACACAGCAGCAGATAACTAGGCCTCAAGGCTTAACCATTTCCCTTACTCGTGAATGAAAAATGAAAGAATCTATGCCAACAGTCATTGCCTTTCTGAAGATATAATCTGTTAGTGACCTGAGCCAAGCAATGTGATCTACAATATGTCATTATCACTACTAAGCAGAGAAAGAAAAAGAGAGGAGAGAGAGAGAGAGAGAGAGAGAGAGAGAGAGAGAGAGAGAATTAGTTTGCAAAGCAAAATTCCAGAACACTGAAAGAGATATATATTAAGACAATGTACAAATCTAATAATGGAAGTTGAATTCACTCTAGAAGCAATAAAATAGTATGAGAAATTTTAATGAGAATTTGAAAACAGAAGCATGCAAAAATGAAACAAACATCAATGTATAGAATCAATTAGAAATCTTTTTTTTTTCTTGGTCTTTTTAAGACAGAGTCTCACTATGCAGTTTAGGTTGGCCTTGAGCTCACTTTGTAGCCTAGGCTGGCCTCAAACTCATAATGATTCTCCTGACTCAGCCTCCTGAGTGCTGAGATTGCAGGCAGGTGCTGCCAAGCCCGGTTTCAGACAGTACTTTAATCTTCATCCAACTCTGATCATTATGATGTCTCATGTGTTTCCACCTCTAAAGGGCTTCTCATCACACTGTCCTGGTTACATATTTTTCATCAATGCTATCATACTAATACATCAAGCATCATGGTATCAGACATTGCTGACATTTACTCTTTGCTTTAAGTCCTTGGGGCCTTCTCATGTACTTTTATTTTTCAACAAATTAAGAATTCCCAACTTACTTTCCAGGGATATGAGTATGACAAATATTTCTGTGTAATGACTAGTGGACTCTAATAAAGCAATAGTTACCTTATCTCTACATTCAAGGACAAGTCCCATTAAGACCCAGCCTTAAGGATGCAAATACAGATCTCTAGTGATTATTGATAACTGAGGAAGAAGTAAGGGGAGGGGTTTAGAAGGATGGATTCAGATGGTGAACAGTCCGAGCCTAGCCTAGAGCTTCCCAAGATCTATATTTAGCTACATTTAGCTTCTCCATCTAAATATAGGAGCTTCCTAAGAAGCACAAATGGTGTATTGCAAATTTATATTATTTTATAGAAACTGAACTTTGGTTCATGTCTTTCTCATGCCAGATACAGAGTCCAGGACCTATGTGGATTTGGTTTTCTGATCACCATTGTGATCATGTAAAGAAGCTTCTCCATCTAAATGGCAATTACGAAGCCAGAGCCACTTCAAATCAAAACATGGTTTTAGGACTAACATAAGGATTCAGTATAAACCAAGAACTTGCCAGAGGTTCCAAACTCCTGGGATTTGCCTACCATCCTACTTCTTTTATTTGAAATAATCTCTTTGATTTATAAAATATATTTTATTTCTCAAATTTTGTTTTCACTACTAGTAACTCAAGTGAAATGGTCAACTCTGAGATGCAAGGGAGTGATACTGCCATCTGTATTTGGCAAATGAGGAAACAAGGCTCAGTGAGGTTGATCACAATGGGATTAGGTGGGAGAGCCTGTCCTTAAACTCAGATTTATTATTCCTGTTAGTGATTTGGCCTTTTTCGTCTACCAGGCAAGAACTACTTTAACTATATGGTGCATGTTGCACTGTCTTTTGCCCAAGCTCTCAGAGAATTTAACCAAATGTCATGGAGGAGGCAGGAGAGCTGGTAGAAACTTGCTGAAATGGCAGAGCAAGGAATTGAATGCTAAGTATCTTGTACAACCTCAACTAAGAGGTTGGGAGCCCTTTCAGAAACCTGATTAAGAATATTAAAACTAGAAAAAAGAAGCCATTGCCATTAAATCAATAAAATGAGGGGTGAGAACAGGGGCAGGAGAGGAGTGACTGGGTCAGCATCTGTAAATGACAGAGGTAATAATAAGCACAGTGGAAACTGGTACGGAAATTGAGGAGAAACCTAAATAAACCCTCTGGCTTCATTTGTTCTTGGTTACTTGCTTTTAGTTGACTGTAAAAGTCACTAATTCTAGGGGTCACACAGCTGAGTAATGTATTATTAGTCTCCCATTGACCTTTCTGATGTGTGAATCATAGTTATAACCATTGCCCAGATTATCTCTCAGATTTGAGAGCTGCATTTGTTGAAACCACTGCCTCTCCACTTGGGCTTGAATGGCTGGTGCCTGGATGTGTGACTTTATGAAGTCAAGAAGCCAAAAACTCATTCCTCAGATTATGCCAGTGCCACCATTTCCTAGACATGTGTCATGTAAAGATCATGTAAAGATCATGAAGATTGATTCCACATGTGAAGACCACTGTCTGCATCACCTGTAATCACCCCTCATCTTGCTTCTTTGTCCCATAGATATGCCTAAACCCAACCTCCAGGGAGGTGAATTGGAGAGATAGGCCTCCCACTTCCACACTTGGCCGCCTTTTGAACAAATGTTTTCTTTTGCAAAATTCATTGTTTCAATGATTGGCGTATTTTGTGGCAGACAAAACAAGCCTGGTTAAGAGCCCCATGACTAAGTGCAAGTAATCT